CAAATCATACATGTACAAAACCCAAAATTTCTATACAAATTCCGAAAAAGTAAACTGTAGTGAAAGTGACATTTTAAGTAAGCCAAGCAAAATTACTGATAAATTAGGTAATTACTACANTTATCACTTCTGTTATTCTATAGATTGGGTTTTAACGACTTGTTTTTTTTTCTGTATATAGACTTGCTTTGAGATGATATCCTTGGATTCAATGGACAAACTACTTGTAGCAACCAGACATGTTTTTATTTCCAAGAATGCTTGTAATGGGCTGGCCAAAAAATTCATAGGACAGGGTGCTAACAATGGTAGTTATCATTGATAATAAAATAATAACAAATCTAGTGAACATACAGCTAATGATATTAAATTGCTTTAACAGGTTTATATTAAAACATGATAAATGTACATGGAGAAGGTAAATCAAAGGGAAAATGTGGAGAAGCGAGGTCTCCTATCATGATTGTTTCACGTGGTTATGGAAATGGTCGTTTGTAGAAAGAGTAAGGGTAAGAAATCTAATAATTTTATGAAGTTGTACTTACGAAATGATTCATGATTTTTCAAATCTTGTATTCCATTTGTTTGACAATAATTTCCACTAAATTTTTACACTTCTGAATTGCAATAGTTATGTATTGATTTTAATAGTCTGCTATTTGATTAGTGTTATGGTTCTTAATATTTTAAAACATGATATTTATAATAAAGCTCACATTAAATTATTTCAACAGGATGCCATTTAAACATATTAAATGAAGGAGACAAAAAGTAAAAAGGATTCAAAACCTGGAGAATTGGAGCCCCTTTGATGTTCCCGCCCCTTGGCTATGAAAGGTGCGATTTTTAGAAAATATATGCAGACACCTTTGTCAACGCTTAGGAATAAATCTCGAGTACCATAGAGTAATCTTCCAGGTAAGCAATTGTTTTTCTATTATATTGAAGTTGCTTAGTTTTCATAGTAATTTGCCATCTGTGGCATCTATGGCTTTACTTCTAACAGTTATCTATTGTTCACAGCATAAATCGATGTTATCGTGCATCTATGGGGTTCTCTTTTAAGTATCTATTGTCCACTGTATAAATTAACATCGTACATCTACGATTATTTCTATAGCCTTTAACATTTACTATTATCTATGACATGAATAAAACTGACATGTCGTCGCCATTTTATAATAAGCTGTTTTGCTTTCGCTTTTGTACATGTTTTTAATTATATTACATATTTTACTTATTTTAAACATCCATTCTTTAGTTGATAGTATAACTAATACTTTTTTTGCCCATCTCTACAGATGGTCTGACAAATGGGAGAGAATTAAAGTTCAGGTTGATGGTACTGAAACAATATCTACAATGGTGCTGCCTTTGGTGAACTACAATTTTGATTTGTTGTTTTCGTCTTCACCTTGCAACATTATGCAGTTATTTTTCAAGGGATGAGTGAGATCAACTGGAGATTTATGCTAATTCCACTGAAATAACAAATTTTCTGCATTGGCATTCCTCTTGGATTTGATTTGCTTTTCACACCTGCAAACTTTAGAACATTACGGTCTACAGTTAATTAAGGTGAGAATACTTGATATAATTAATTTTAATTGCTCCTTATTAATCTGTTACCACCGTATCTGTTTCAGATCGACGTTGGAGAAGACAAAGATGACCCCTTAGTAAAAATAGTTCTCTATCTTGCATGCTCTGTAATAGAATTCAAGTTCATTTTATTCAAATTAGTTTTTTACTTTGCGTGTTTTTTTTTCGTAGTTTATTTCATTTGAATTAGTTTTTAATTTGCATGCTTACTTTTGTTCATTTAATTTGAAGTAATTGTTGATTGTAGATGTTTTTATTTTTTTTTTGTATGTAGTAGTAGTGTAGTAGTAGAAATAACACGTTTAGTAGTTGTAGTATAGTCTAACCTTGCTTACCTCTTCGCTTAGCTTACTGCATATTCTTCCTAATTTGCTTTGCATTTACCCTACGAGTTCTACATGATTCAACGTTTCGTTATCGTGTGTGTTTCTTCTCACCCTTGTGGAATTAGGGAGGGCCTCCCCGAACGACTTCCCTTGGGCTTAGCTATTTAGTTGATCTTAAAAGTGTCTTATACACTTTTCGCGAGTCTACTCTAGCGT